TTATTCAATTTGTATCTCCAGAAGGCTAAAAAAAAGTTTTTAAAAATCAATATAAAGATTAAAAGCAAGATGAGCAGTGACTAAATTTGAAATATAAACTAATAACATATAAATAAAAACTGTTATTTATTTGCTTCTCTGATTTTTACCTCACCTTTCTGCTCTGGCAAGTACTCAAAACATCTACAGAATTTAGAAACAACAGAATACAAAAAGATAAAAATACTGATTAAAAGGAACAAAATAATTGGTGTTTATTTATCATTCTTGCATATAGCTATATTTTATGATAACTCCCAATGGGTAATGACATAAGAGTACACATCAAATATCCACAGTAAACTAATTCTGGCAATTAATTTAAATTTAAATTAAGTAAATTATCACAGTAATGATAATAATCATGATAATAAAACTATACATAAAAATGTCAGAGCATCATATAATTACTAGGATCAGAATGTTAACAAAATTAACTACTTCTACTACCACTACCAATTAACAATTAAAAGCCTATTGAAATGAGTTGCCCTTCTAAAGGGAAAGACCATGGAGACTAAGTGCAACCGAAGGTTTTTATTCAATAGTCTTGAAGCATTACAAGAGAAGCCCTCTCTCATTTCCAGAATGAGAGGCCTCTGACAATGGGGTCCTCTTCAGATGAGGCTTCCTGAAAGACAGGAAGTCACACAGATGTTATTTAAAGACCCATCCCACAGCAAGTGGCAGCATATAGCCAACTTTGGTGGAGCTCAAAACAGTTAAGCAAAGTCATACCTTCTCAGAATTTGGTGGAGGACCAGAACCGTAGGTTAGACTGGGAAGTCAAAAAATACCCTCAAAGGGAATGGTAACCTTCCATACTGCTACCAAAAAAAACTACAGACATGTCCACAGAATCCAGAGCTGTTAGTTAAATGACAAAATGTGCATCAGGATTTCATCACATAAACTCTGCTCCTTACATACTTACAACCAACACTAAAATGCACATCAAAAGGGAATGCGTTGTCATTTGCCTCTGCCTTGCCCCTGCCATAGATGCCCAAGCATATCCATGTAGTCACCAGGAGTCAAGCTTGAAAGTCTTGTTTATTTAACCAAACACCTTACATTGTACCTAGGGAACCTAGTTTGCCATCAATGCAGATCCTTCAGGACAGCCACTGAGTGATGCAGGAGCTTAGCTGCTGCATTTTGCACCAGTTCCTGACATATTCATTCATTCATTCATTCATTCATTCATTCATTCATTCATTCATTTTTTGCATCTGTCTGTCTTCCAGAAGTTCAAGGCTGGAAACTGTGGATTCCAAAGTACAAAATACCATAAATAAATAATAAGTAAGGCAGCATGCACAGCACCTCCTGCTCCCTTCAACAACAACCCCTGTTTTTGAACTGCAACAAAGAGTGACTCACACAAAGTGTCCAAAGTGTTTCTAGAGCTGATGGGAGACTTAAGAAAGGTCCCCCAAGTTCTAACTTGTCCTTTTAACTGCACAACACTAGCTCTCCATAGCTTGATGCAAGGGTGTGGCAATACTCAAAATGAGATGTATCCAAGGCCTAGATCACTGTCACCGAATCTCGCCAGCCCAGGAACGGTCACAGTTATCACACTAGACATGATTGTGCAAAAGCACTCCTTAGCACAATGGCTACCTGAAAATCCAGTCATCACTGAGAATCAAACAGCACTCCCAGACAGCACTCCCAGACAGACCTGCTTTTTCAGGAGGAATGGAATATTGTCTAATCCCAGTTAAACTTTCATCTTTGAGTTATATTTACCAACTGTACCTCCATCTTGTCTGGATTTAATGTCAGCTTGTTCTCTTTCACCCAGCCATTATCAATAAAAAAATCTCTCTTCTACTCTGAAACTGGAGAACAGGAAGGACTGGAAACTGGACATGTTCCTGCAGCAACTTATCTTATCTTCTCAGCTTAGGAGAAACTCCTGGCTGAAGATGATGGAAATTGCACTCCAAAATGCTTGGAGGTTATTAGATTGCCTCCCTGGTCTATACAGGGGCACAAAGGTTATAATTTGGGACTAAGACCAAGGACAGTCACGTCCAGTTTCCCATTTAGCCCTAAAGTTCCTTGGGTAATCTTGGATTAGTGCAAAATAGAGTTCATACCTATGTTTGTTAAACCCTAAAGTAGTTTATCTGGTTTTGGTTTAGCACGTTATAAGAAACCAAATAAATGTCATTTATTCCCTAACTATAATTAAACAAACCACAACAATAGTGCCACATAGGAATCAAATCATGCTCTTTCTCTCACTCTTCCTAGTTGACCTTATCTATTGATTGTGAAGCTAGAATGGAGGAGGAAAAGTATACATTCATTGAGCATTTTGGAGGAAAGGCAAGATAGGGATATTATAATGACCTCAGCCCATGATAACTTTTCTTCATTAGAAGTGTCTGAGCTTTGAAGATGCTATTTTGAACATCTTTACTTAGAAGTATATAATGGCTCACTGAAAACTAGGAATTATATTTGTATACAGTTTGGACCAGGTTTCCAGGCATTCTCTGTGCTTTACTCTTTTCAGCTATATGGCCCTTCCAACATTCACAAATATGCAGTATTCAGCACCAGGTTCACACTGCATGAACTTTTCAGTTATAAAGAAGCCCTCTCTTCTTTTATAGTAGCCAGTGACATTTACTAGCCACCTAGTAATATGAAGGGTGCTTGAGTTGAAACTCAAATTGGAGACATCATCTCACTGGCTTATGAAAACTGTAGACAATGTGCCTCCAAAGAGTTAAAACCTTGCAGAAGTCTATGAATCAACTTCTCAAGGGAAGCCACATTACCTATTACTGCAAAACAGCTACCAGTGCATTGGCAACAGTCCAGTAAAAAACAGTCCAGTGCATAATTTTAACATAAGACTCCCAGCATCTTCATGTATTGCATCTCTTTTACTGAATACGAGTTTTAAGTGTACTGGATAGGTAAACAATGAAATAAATGCTTAAACAGGAAAGAAATGCTCAAGCACAAACATTAACACCAAACTGAGGCCCTTATGAAGATCAGAGATACATGCCTGTTCAAAGTATTTCTTCGACAAACACAGTTCCCATACACACTTTTCTACACACCCAAACTTTGTGATCAGCTCTTTACAATAGGAATTCTAGCAGACTGATATGGATGTTATATTCCTAAGACTCCAATTTCCAGTCTATCTAAATATATTTATTTTCCATGTCAAAGCCTATGGCTTACTGGCTTCCCACAGCTATAAAGAGTTTCATGGATGAAGGGATCCTTTGGGGGCAACACACCCTCAAAAGTTGACCTGGAGGAACAATTTACTGGAGTGGTGTTTCCATGTGGCCCACATGCAGAATAATAGCACATTTTAAAGAGATAGCTAACAAGAGCATGACATGTTCATCTGCCCACTCTCCCTCTTCTTAGCATTTTTCCCACACGTGCAGGGTCCACTTTTTTCAGATCAACCAAAAGTTGGTCCATTGGTTGTGACAGGAATTGACTGAATGGCTTCTCGCCCGAGCCTGATATTGTGGGCTGAGACAGAGTGACCGGCCCAAAGTCACCCAGCCAGCTTTCATGCCTAAGGCGGGACTAGAACTTATAGTCTCCTGGTTTCTAGCCCAGAGCCTTAACCATGAGACCAAACTGGATATCAACATGTTCATCTGCCCAGATTTTTTTAATATCATAGAACTACAGAAATGTCTGGTGCAGGTAATGAGATACAAGACTCACTGAGTGTAAACAATGTAGATTTTCTCCTTGCAGGACTGGTTTTATTCAAGAGGGATTCATGCTGCAGTTCTGTTACTTCCATCAACCTCAGTTTGGACTTTTCAGTAAATCTGCAGTCGTAAGCACACTTATATAGCAATCGACCTACTGAAGCCATGAGACTTACTTCTGGGGAATCATGTACATATTGCATTACTGGCCTCTTCTCTCAAACAACGATGACAGCACAAGCCTATGCATGTTGATTCTGAATGAAGCCTATTGCCTTGACTGCAATTCTCTGCACCTTTCACTTAAAATATTTACCCCGGCTTCTTTTTATAAAAATCAAGTATTGCACTGTAGCACATTGGAGTAAACATCATCACCCACCACAGGACTCACTTCTGAGTGAAGTTATCTAGGATTCAGCGGCACATCTCCAAGGTCCCCCAAGACTCTAGGCCAGTGTTTCTCAACCTTGGCAGCTTGAAGAGGTGTGGACTTCAACTCCCAGAATTCCCCAGCCAGCAA